AAAAAATAACAAACGACAGTTTAAAAAAAATAAATAAAACAGGATGAAATTTTATTTAAAAAAAAAACGAAAAAAAAGATATAATCTTTTCATCAGCTCACACGATTATATCCGCAAAAAAGAGTGCTTTCTGATATTGTATTAATATAGCCAAAGCAAAGTATATTAATACAATAGTGTGAGGAGCACTCAAAAAATTTTTTCTACAAAAGTTAGAACAAATAAAATAGAACACAATAAGTAAAAATAACATGTAAAAACAGAAAATGAAATAAAATAAAAAGAAAAAAACAGTATAAAACTTAGACTATAAATCGATTAGCGAAGTCAGATGTACTTACATGGACGGAAAATTTTTCACGAATGATATAAAAATGTTTTCGTAACAAGATTGCTAGATTATAAAATATGAAAACAAAAGCGCAAATTGAGTGTAACTAGAGGATTTTAAAGTGCCGTTCTTACTGCACTGCTGAAGTGATTTGTTATTCTGTGCATTGATTTGTTAGTTACCAAGGATGGGCCCGAAATGGATGTGAGTAAGGTAATATTATACTGGATAATTTTAAAAAAGTTGACCATAAATAGTTTTAGAAAATAGATGTTTATTTCAGAAAAAATATGTAATAAAAAAGAGAAACATAAATTGCCTGTTTTGCAAATAATTTTAACCACGGATTTGCCCGAAATATATTTGCACATGGAAAAATTTTAAATCTTAATAAAGAAATTTTTAATAAATAATTTTACCCACGGATTTGCCCGAAATGGATTTGCACATAGAAAAATTGTATAAATTAATAAAGAAATTTTTAGTAGATAATTTTAGCCACGGATTGGCGTAAAATAGATTTGCACATGGAAAAATTATATAGATTAAAAAAGGAAATTATATAGTTAAGGAATTTTTTAGTAAATAATTTTAACCACGGATTTGCCCGAAATGGATTTGCACATGGAAAAGTTATACAAATTAGCAAAGAAATTACTTAGTGAATAATTTAGGCAATGGATTTACCCGAAATGGATTTGCATATGGGAAAGTTATATAAATTAACAAAGAAAATGTTTAGTAAATATATCCACAAAAATATACGATTAATTCAATGATTTCATATAAAATTTTATTACTTTAGTTGGGTATCCATTGTTTTTTATCAAATTTTGAAAGAGTTTATCGATTTGTTTTTTGGATAAATAAATATTACTATATATTCTTTTAATTCTGTCCATTTCATTGAAAGTGGTATTTAAATAGATGCTCCTAGAAACATTAGAATTCCAAGTAATTAGTTTAGTAATATTAAAATTAAAATCATTTCTTTTAACGTATAAATCAACAAAGCAGATATTTTAAACTTTTATGATACCCAAATCCAAAAAATTGAAATTAATATTATCATCAGGATTACGAAGTAAGATTAATTCCTCAGGGTAAATATCATTTAATAAAATAGTAAGATCTTGGAAATCAAAGATAATTAAGTCATCAATATATCTAAAAACAAATTTAATACTCAGAGTAAAATTTTTTTCATAATAATGCAAAAATAAGTTAGCTAAGAAAGATGAATAATAAGATCCTTGTGGTAATCCATTAATTTGAAGAAAAATATCCCTTCCATTGTAAAGATAATTATTAAAAAGACAAAAAATAATCAGAATTTCTCAATAATCAAAATCGCAACGAAGGATATTTTTAAAATCATAGTAATAATTCAAAAGGACATCTTTTAGTTTAGAAAGGGGAATGCTATTGAAAAGATCCTGGAAATCAAAAGTCGCAATAGAATTAATTTTATTATGTTTAATGAAATCTAAAATCGGTTGATTATTCGTGATAATCCAAGAGAAACCTTCTTTAGAAATATTGCTAATAATTTTATTTAAGAAGTTAGAGAAAACGGTGCCAGGTTTAGTTAAATAAGTATTGGATCCACACGTGATAGTTCTAAATTTAACAGGAATTTTATGAAATTTAGGACAGATAATTAAGTAAGGAAATTGTATATTGCTAATTTTAATTTTTAAATCTCTTGTAAAAAGCTAAAAATTTTTTAATGACAATATTATTATTGAAATTATTAAGTTTAAAATTTTTACTATTTTTTAATTCCGTATTTAAAAGTTCAGCATAGAATTTTTTACAGAATATAGCATAATTATTCTTAGCTTTGTCTGTGGGAGTAATTACAAAATTTTTTTGAAGTTGCTTAATTGATTGAACAATATTAGAAAAATTTGTTGAATCGTTACTCTTATTTAAGTTATCCTTATTATTGAAAATAAAGTTTTCAAAGTTCCCCCACCCCATTTCCATTATGTTAACATACCTAAAGGTAAAGAGAATCTATTTGATATCTTTAAACAAAAACTATTGAGATCATTAAGAAAGTATTTTAGAATTTTATTGATTGATATATGGTAAATGGGTCTAAATTTTGTGCCCTTCATTATTAAATTCCTAAGTTCCAAGTTTTCTATAATATCTAAATTACCAGTAATAATATGTTTATAATGTTTATCAACAAAATCAAAATATTTATCCTCCTCACAGTGACATTCATAATCGGATATATTAATACTCCCTAAATTTTTGCTTATATCATTATAGTTAAAAATGGTTCTACCAAGTGATTTGTTATATTTAAAACTTTTAATAATGTTAAAATCTTTTAATGGAAATAAAGCTTTAAAATTTTCAAAAATGTTGTGAAATTTGATCTTATCGAAAATAGGATTTTGAAAGTTAATAACGAAATATAAATTATCTAAACTTTTCTTATTATTAGGCAAAATTTTGCTCATTTTGGCTTTTATAAGATCGAAACAAAGAATTTTGAAATGTAAATTAATGAAAGAAAAGTTAATAATAAGATCGTAGAACTTATATGTTTCATAATTCTTAAGGGAGAAGACAAAATCTTTAATTGGTTTAAT